AATGGATAAGTCAGATTCTCTTGACAAGCCCACGCTTGTCGTGTGATGTGATAAAGAAAATAATAATCGAGACTTTATTTGTAACTGGTAATAATATTTATTTCACGAGCACAATTTTATATGACCGTACAGGACGAACACCTTTATTGATTTGTTATTATAATATTTCTTTTTTTATTATTTTTTTACGCTGCTAGGCAACTCGTTACCAACACAATCTTTAAGCTTTCTACACTCGCTGCGCTAGTGAGGCATTAAGAATTCCCCACATACTCCCCCCCGAGTGACAACGAATCCGGCACTTATAAAATATATACGTCTACCTTATAAAATATATACAACGTGTCATATAGAATATCTTAAAAGTATCTGACAAAAATTAATTACATTTTTGGAAGATCTATTAAAATTATAAGGCGAAAGTCACCTTCCTCTTCGGGCGCGCATACGTTCTCAAAGTTGGTCACTCGTTGCTAGACGAATTAGCTGCTTGCCCTGTTTCTAGAATCGCACTACACAAATCATCGCGTATGCCATAAGCTGGCTTCAAATTCTCGACTGATACACTGCGCTGTGCACCATTAACTTCAATATCGAAAACTCGATCCGAAACACGATTTATAACCTTGTGAGGGTCGGTGTAAGGACGCTCTAATGCTCTCTTGGTACCGCCCATCCGTAGAAAAACATGGGAACAAGAATATAAATTTTTAAATACGAATGCGCGTTTCTTGTGCTTATGCTCTATTCAGATTGGCTTAACTTTGCGCATATGCTCGCGGAATTCCTCTATGAAAATTTGCGGACTAGGAGTGAAGTCCGGCAGTATAAATTCTCCGGGGACGCGCAGTGTCGTTCCATAGACAAATTCCGCAGGCGATGCGCCGGTGTCAAGGCGGACATGAGTACGCAGACCTAATAATACGGTCGAAAGTACTCGTGATCAACCTTCATTAGCATGACACATAATAGCAGCTTTTAAGCTTCTATGCCACCGCTCGATCATACCGTTCGAAGCGGGATGATACGCCGTGGTACGAATTCGTTGACAGCCGATCAGCTGAAGAAGTGCCGTAAACAGTTGCGCTTCAAACTGAGTACCTTGATCAGTAGTTATTATTTTGGGTGCTCCAAAATTTGCTACCCAGTTGTCATAAAACGCGCGTGCCAAATAACTGTCACAGGTATTGCTACTGGCCAACGCGAAAATCTATCAATCGTCACACAATATCTGTACCCGTCCGACTCCGAGGCAAGGGACCTATTAAATCCATATGAACGTGCTCGAAACGCGTCGGGTGCGACAAATTTTTCAGGATGTAATTGAACGTGTCTGGATATTTTTGACTGCTGACAGTCAAGACAATTCTTACACTATTTTGTAATATCACGATGTATGTTGGGCCACACATATCGTTGACGAATTACCCAATCCGTGACTTTAGGGCCCGGATGAGCCGCGTCATGGAATAAATGAAAAACGCGATCTCGTAAAGATGCCGGTATATAGGGACGGATTGC